AATACTCAGACCGACGACGGGCAGCAGTGTCAAAGGTAAACAGAAACAGAAACTTTTTTATTCAATACAGATTATAAATAATACTTATTGAAAGTCACTCTTTTGTTTAATTTAACACTGGTTCGAAAATAACCTCTGTCTTGGTAAGAACCAGCAAGAAACCCAGCGGAACTTTTTTTTAAATAACAGCATAGAATAATGTAATCACAATTAACCACACAAAACAAATTAGAAATAGCTTGGTAGCGATCATCTCATTCCCAGGGGTTATTATCATCCACAAATTCCTTAATATTATAATAACGCTTTTTATACAAACTTTGTTTAATAGTTTTTGAACTCTGAGCAGGTCAAACTTTGTATATTTTCTGGGAGTTTGTTGCAAATGCGTAAGCGGGCGATGTGCCCCAAGAATGAATTACCTTGTGTCTGTTCCTAGTATTTACAGAATGAATATCACTTATTCTAGTATAACTACGTCTATTTTTGTGTACGTACACTAGTTTTGATAAATGTACTGAGAGGCCAAAGTTAATATATTAATTTCCTTAAAGTTCCCCGTGACCATGGCTGCTGGAAAGCAACCGAAACGTCGGGAATATAAAGTAAGTTAATTAAACGCGTTAAAATCCGTAAAAAAGTAGTTTTATTCAATGTGTAGTGTTCGCGTAAATATAAGAAATCATAATTTCCTTAAGTTTTTGTCGGAGCGACTCTTTTTTTTTGGTGCAAGACATCTGGTCTATTTTCTGCGATATATGTGCTGTTAGCTTATACGGCTATTACAGCTTCAACTAACACAGGGCTGCGAGCTATTTGCAAGAGATCTGGTACTGAGATTATCAATCCCGCCAAGCGTGACGCAGGCAAATATTTTCTGCAACGGGCGAGGATCATGTCTAGCTGTGTACTTTTTCGAGCTGATAAGGAAGAAGATTTGGATGAGCTACACGCTATTAGCTGGTCAACTGTGACTCATAATTTATAAGATAGCAGTGTATAAGTGGTAGAGTCACGCTGCTGCTATGTCATGGCTGCAGCACGAATGAGTCAAGTGGACCGAGTTAGGGCCACGCTAGCATAGAATACCAGCGTGATATATATCACTGTAATGTTGCTTTATTTCGTATGGTGAGTGACGAAAGCGACATTTTAATATTAATAAGGCATTCCATTTTGGTCCTCAGTGGCAACAACGCATGTGCATTTTGATTCTTAGTAGAGGACAGATGTAGGTTTTAGGTGTGTATTGGGCTGCAGCATCTGCTCACCATTTAGTGGAGTGTGCGCTTATTTGTCACACGTGGTAGAGCCATGCTGCAGCTATATTAGTTGTATATTTGTAGCACGAATGGATCGTCTCGACCGGGGGAGGACCACGCTCTCACAGAATACCCTAAAATAGCAGTTTAACACTGCTGTGTTTCGTATGTTGAGAGTAGAGAACCGGATACCCTTTTTAATGGAAATAAGGCATTCCATCTTTATCGTCACTGGTGACAACGCATCTGCATCTTGATTCTTTATTGAGGATAGATGTGGATGTCTATGGGTCACAGCAACCACTTACCATCAGGTGGACTGTGTGCTCGTTTGTCACCCTATCCTATAAAAAAAAAACAATGATTTAAGGAGGGATTGACAATAGGATAAAATTTATTTGTTATATCCTTTCACTGTCCAAGATGAGTATGGTACTATAAATCTTTTCATTTTTTTTCTTTAAAGAAAAACGTTACCTCCACACTAGGATTTTCCAGACTCGGAACAATTATATTGTTTGTAGGCCATTCAAATACTTGTTCCGCGCGGGATTCGAACCCACGGTCCTTAGTGCTGCAACTCATTGCTAAGCTATTGTTATAGTATAAGCACGTCGGCGTAATATGGTGTTTTGCTAATACACCACGGGTGCAGAGTCGTCTAAATACACAATTTATTGGTTTTCGAAAGTTTTTATCGTGCATAGACCGTCCGTTCTGGGCATGAGATCTTACTGGCATTCAAAAAGTCTTTCCGATTTTCTTGCACTTTGTTCCTAGGACAGAAGTTTATGTCGAACCAGTGGTAAAACAAAAATTCAATACTTTCAATACGTATTACTTGTATACTTTATTATTCTATACTAGCTGATACCCGTGACTTCATCCGCGTTGCTTGCTATATTAGCAAAGTTTTCGTATGTTCGAAAAAAAGAACATCAAAAAGATCGCATGCAAAAATATACTTTGCTTACAAAAATTCTTTGTAAACAATGTTATTCGTTGCTCTGTTTGTAACTAAAATAAAAAACAGCTAATACGAGGGCTGCACTAAAAGTATCGGGAATAGAATATTTCCACTGTTCCTGTCATATTAAAATCTTTTTAATTGAAAACTCCTTGGTTTTAAAAATCGAATAGCATTTATTTATTTAAAAAAAGATTCTCGGTCTTGCCACAAGGTTTTATCAAACTTGTTTAGTCGTTGAGAAAATGGAATTGACTCGAGAAAATTCAAGAGCGATGATTTATTATGACTTTCGAAGTGGTTTAACACAAAAACAGTGTGTTGACCGGATGATTTCTGCACTTGGTGATGAAGCCCCATCCAAAAACACAATTTATCGCTGGTTTGCTGAATTTCAACGTGGACGTGTCAAGCTCAGTGATGATCCCCGTCAAGGTCGTCCAAAAATTGCAGTCACCCAAGAAAACGTTGATGCTGTGCGTAAGCTGATTGAGGAAGATCGACATGTGACATACCGCGAAATTTAGGCAACTTTAGACATTGGCATGAGTCAAATACAAATAATATTGCATGAATAATTAGGTGTAAAAAAGTTGTTTTCCCGATGGATACCGCATTCGCTCTGTGAAGAGCAAAAAGCGGCTCTCGTTACTTGGTGCGTCAGAACTCTCGAAAGATTCCACGCAGGATCCTCAAATGCTGTATACAACATCGTATCAGGTGACGAATTCTGGATATATGCGTACGAACCCGAAACAAAAAACCTGTCACGAGTTTGGGTGTTCGAAAATGAGTTAAAGCCAACAAAAATTGTTCGTTCACGGAGTGTTGCAAAAAAAATGGTGGCCACGTTTGTCTCCAAAACCGGCCATGTTACGACTATTCCTCTTGAGGGACAAAGAACGTTTAATGCAGAGTGGTATGCTAGCATTTGTTTGCCACAGGTCGTTTCTGAACTCCGTAAAGAGAACTACAACCGCCGCATCATCCTCCATCACGACAATGCGAGTTCTCACACCGCACACAGAACAAAAGAGTTTTTAGAGCAAGAAAACATAGAATTATTAGACCATCCGCCGTATAGCCCCGACCTAAGCCCTAATGATTTCTATACTTTCCCTAAAATAAAGAATAAATTGCGTGGACAGATATTTTCATCACCTGAAGAAGCTGTGGACGCCTACAAAACGGCCAAATTGGAGAACCCAACTTCCGAATGGAATGGTTGCTTCAATGATTGGTTCCATCGTATGGAAAAATGTGTCAAATTTCGCGGAGAATACTTAGAAAAGCAATAAATACATTTTTGAATAGTATTGTTGTGTCACTTCCTTGATTAACGAAATTTTCAGTGCCGCCCTCGTAACACATCCCTGAACACTTAGTGCTTATAACAATCGTTATTTGTTAAAACTCTACTAACTTTATATTAAATGAAGATATCGCAATTTTTTTTAAATAAGGGCCAAGTGTCTTTGAAATAAAACTTAGAAAACCTAACTGAAATCTATCCAGTAGTTTTTCTTCATGCGTGCACAACTTCAAGCCTTAATAGATTGTATAAAAAAAAATTCCAATCTATTCGATTCTATTTTTCGCTGTCTATAACACGCACCCGCGTGGCACTATGCTGTTTGATATGGACAAACAGTACAACACAAACTTTTGAAGTAAACCACATCTTTTTACCCACTCTACTTAAAGCAATAAAATAATTCCTCGCAGGAAATCAATTGAAGATACTTATATACCTACCTAATATTTCTGTTAATAGTTCTGGCTTCTCCTGGGTGGGCCTATTAATGTGGTGTTATTTATATTTAAGATAATCGTCAAAGACCATTTATTTCATCTTGACAATTTTTCGATTCAAAACGATCTCGAAGTTTTTCGAATAACATTTAGCCTAGATCACTAATGACATTGATTGCGTTGGCTTAGAAATTTGATTTTTTCACAGCTCCAAGGGACAGTAGATTTGAGTATTTGATATGAATTTCAGCTTGATACCTCCACGCGTTCCTGAGAAAAAGGGTCTTCACAGACAGACAGACGGACAACAAAGTGATCCTATAAGGGTTCTGTTTTATCCTTTTGAGGTACGGAACCCTAAAAAGAAGTTGTGCAGAAATAATTTCTACTACGAACTGCGAGGTAAAATGTAAAGTATGGAATTTGACAGCTAATGTCAAATTTCGCGAAGACTGTGGCGCCGCGGCTAAGGTACTTCTGTCTTAAACAAACTGGTAAAATTAAAATTTTTGTAAAAACGACTTCAATATAAATTATTAAATATAAATTAACTCAAAAACTACTGGTCAGCCCTTGATCAAATGAGACATGACATGAGACCCACCAGCTTTCAAATAAAAAAAGAATCATCGAAATCGGTTCACCTGGAAAAAAGTTATGAGGTAACACACATAAAAATAACACATAAAAATACAGTCAAATTGAGTAATTCCTCCTTTTTGTAGTCGGTAGAAAAGACTTCCTTAAACCCGAAAACAACTGGTTTTGTACTCGTAATAAGATTTATATTATTTAATTAAAAACATTTGCTGAAAAAAAATTTGTCTATGCTTTAACAATGAAACTATATTCTATTTTTGTAAGTTTAGTGGTTGGTGGAAAAACTTTGAAAATTAGTTACAGCAAACTGTCTAAAATAAACTTGATATTTGTCATTATTTCAAAGTATTGAAGATTAGTTTCAATTCATAATTGAGTAAGCCGTGCATGTTAGTCCACACTAATAAAATGTAACTAACTGTCTTGATAAGTCCACGAGTTCAACGCTGGGTGCGTGTTGAGAGTGTACAATTGTACTCCGAAATGTTCCTTCAGGCAGGAGCTATTGCTGTTCTTCATGGTGTCCAAAAGGATCTTTGTGGTCTTTCCAACATTATCGCTCCTTTTGAGAAATGCAACAATATCAACACCGCATGTTTCATTCACGGCTCTACGGCATTCCGCTGCTGAGTATGGAGACAGTTTCCCACCAACACCAATAGCAGAAGCGCACACTTCATTAATGAGCTCCAGCACTGCTACTTCCGTCTCGAACATCACTTCACAGCATCCTAATTTGTTTAAAATAAATATTATATGAAGAATCTGTAAATTAGTTTCATTATATTTAACTGTTTTTTTTTTGTAAGTATAACAAAATTGAATAGATAATTTTAAATGTCACATTATAATACCAGTACTTAATATATTATATTATGATTATTACAACAATTTTATAAAACTTAAGCAAGCAACACATTACAATTTAAAAATTTTAAGAAATTAATTCCTGCAGAGCTAGCATAAGAAGGAGACATTTTATCCCCGGGGAAAGGACAAAATGTTTATCCCCTTGCTTAATTTTAGTTTATCCTTCGAGCATGGGCACACCAGTGGATATAACATCCACAGTAGATAAAATGGAAGAACCCATGTCCAATGACCTAGGATAAAATTATCCCTTTCAAATGTCAAAAAGGCATCATTTTTTCTCTTTCATTTGGCCCCATGCTACGGATGGGGGATATATTATTATGGCTAGTTTTGTATTTCAAACGATGATATACTGCTCCTTTCCCCTATTGCCGTGCGTTGGCATAAGGACAAGATAATTTTATCTCATGTCAGTGGATATAATCGGGGGATAAGTTTTTTGTCTCCAGCTTATGCGAGCCGTGTTGGAAGGAGAAATTTTAAGAGGGTCCTTTTTTTAAATATTCCAGCTGGACTATAAATGTTTATATCACTATAGCTCAGGGCTCTATTGCCTAAATACTCAAACCCTACTCAATTTTAAGATATTGTTAAGTCACATTGAATCACTTAAAGTGATAAGAGACAACACTACTTAGTCAAATTTAGTTTGGTGAATTAAACAGGAAATAGTAAATACATAAGTACATTATACTACATAAGTACATTATGTACAAAACAGTAACAGCAAAATAAAAGATAACATTTTCCTTCTCTTATTAATAAGGCAAATATGTCTATTGTTAGCATTTTGATTAACACATTTTTTTTTGTATTAATCAATAACTTCAGTTAATACATTTACAGCCATAATACGATAGTGTTCACATATCTCTAAAAACATGTGAAATGTTTCAAACATGTTTTTCTAGGATAAAGTTCAACTTTAATTAAATAACAGTTTAAAAACAAATTATCTATTTATGAAATTTAGACTTTTTTTTGTTGCCAGTAGTAATTTTAGTAGCAGGCAGCTGTGCACAAATAATTTTAATGGCATGATTGATTATTTATGCATAGTGTGACCATTAGTTTTCCCTCCGAGGAGGAAGCACTTAAAATATTATGGTCTTAAAAATAAAACATATGTTTTTGGATTGTAACTAAAGATCAAAAATGAAAATGAGAACTAAATCTTATACAGTCAATCAAAATATCTTATACAGTCGGCCTTTTATATTTTTCAGAATAGTAAACAAGTTTTAGTAAGAAATAATTAATTTATTGGAAAACAACAAAAATGTGTCATTTTGTAACTTTTATGTTTAAATATGTAACTATTCAAATATGCCAACATAATTCTTAGTCAAGCCACAGTGGCAAAACTGGTTCGCACGGTGTAGACATACTCTGAACAATGAGGGACATAGCTTAAATGTGGGACTAGACTAGACTAGAATCATGTCAACAGCTAGAATACACGAAAACCTGAATGCTGCTAACTTCCTTTTGCATTTTTGGCTGCTATCTGAGTATAAACACAGTAACCAGATATCTGTGCTGTTGGAAAATAAACTTAATAAAAACTTAATAAAAAGTGTAATAATAATGACAATTTTAATAAATATTGTATAGATCACTTTAAAGAAATTAAAAAAAAATTAATATGTCTATACTACACTTTCACAGCTAGTGACAACATTTAACGTTTTCATTTGCAGATAGGTAATTCTTCTAATACAAACAAAATCTTACTCTAATTTTTAATGTTACGGCTAAAAGTTGAAGTGTGGCATACACCTAAGTTTAACCAGCTATAACCTTGTGCAGCTTATTGTGGTTGGTTAAACTAAGGTGTATGCTATATAATTTACAAATAAGATATGCTGCTTTACCTTGACCTACTGTAACTGATAGTATTACTTTGATATGTGCTTTCTCACTTTGACAATTTTAACAGTAACCATAATTTGCAATTTTCACTCTCATATTTTCAGTATGAAATTAGTTTAACATAGATTTCCCATGTTTATTTGGGATTACGACAAAAATAGGGTGTGCCAAGTATGTCACATATCTAGCATGTCATAAAAAATGCATATTATGATAATAGATTTGTGATTGTGTAGAAAATGGACTAACAACTTATCACTTCTTCCACAATTTTCCATCTTAATACATATTTTTTTGCTAAATGTAGTCTGCTTTTTAGACTCTGCTGTTAATTAATAAATAATATTAAAAAAGTTACTTTATATTTTCTAAATCTCAGTTTGAATCTAAAAACCTGCATTGAATAATATACATAGTCTTGAATAGGTACTTAATATAAAGAGATATACCCAATAAAATTTATTTACATTACTATGTGGTCATACACACATATTTTCCTGTTGTTACCTACCACCTACCACATTCCAATCAGATCTAACTACAAATATCAATGCTTAAAGTCAACAATTGGACCTAGACATATTTGAATAAACATACCTCATTCTTGTTGGTTGCAAATATAACCAATTCAAGCCATATTTACCTTAAAAGTTATTTAAATGACCTAAATTAAATAGTCCAATTAGAAAAAATATCTTTTTCACATAAATATAATAAGCATATATTATGGTTCTTAGATCACTGTATTTAAAATATAGATAATATAGTAAAAAAATAATTATGTTTATACAGTGTAATCTTAATGATTTAAGCGATTAAAAAAGTAAAATTCATTATTTTTTATTTAGGTTTTTGATATTTTATGACAATGTTCATGACTTCATGACACAACTAAATGCTTGCAAGGTTAAATTATATTATACATTAGAAGTTTAAAAACTAATTGCTATTCCTAACAATTCATTAATCAGCGACATAATTAGATTTAGTTCACGTTTGTCGCAGAAAATTATGTCGCGTAACTGCGCTGCTATTGACATTGAGCTAGAGTTAAAAATACCGACGTTACCTGCGTCCCGGTCGAACTGGTTAGGTTTCAGCTGCTCCTGGGAGTGTCCCAGGATCAGTGGCGATAGGATCCTGGGCCATAGGACTGCGAAACACCCCACAACAATCACTAAAACAAACATCGTCTTACGCGGCCCCAACACTTCGTCGTTCGCCATTCTCTCGTGTTTTTCGTATCGGTTCGTCACGCGCGCACACAGCCGGTTACACTCTACGGGAACATCGTCGTGTATGATTATAAATAAATATCTTCCGCCGCCTTCAGCAAAAGTAAAAGCGTAAGCGCTCAATGACAGCTGTCAAACTCGCCCTGCCCGCTGCGTTACGGGAGCGATCGCAATTTCTTTACGGGAGCATCCGCCTTTAGATATCTTCTTACGTTGAACGCCGGTGGATTGAGCTGGCTCGATGTGACACAGCCGTATATCAAAGTCAATCAGCTATGCCGACATCTTGCCTTCCCAGCCACCGGCTTGGCTTCTGTTGAAATTTTCAGTCACCACATTTCAAATATTGACAAAGTGAATTAGCGTTTGGCGGGCAAACGTGTGGCGTTCGCAAGCAAGCCTCGGTACAATATGCCTGGGCGCGGAGGCGGCGCCGGCTAATAACCCTTCCCCACCGCGACGTGGTCTACACGCGCTCAGATGAATACCAATTAGACATTCATTGTACTTGTTATTAGACTAGCATACAAAAAATTCTCCCTAAACTTGACGTAGGAATATTTCCACCAAATGTATTTTATGGTCATCGTGAAACATCACACCAAGAATGGTACATAAAACTATTCTTTATTTCTGGTACATACTTTTTCATTCATTTTTTATAGTTACAGCCTATCAAAAGTCCACAGGAGAACATATACCTCCCCCATAGATAGTCTCATAGGGGAGGGGAAATTAGCCAAACTTGACAAGTGGGTTGGCATTCGCAGATTTTTTATTACTTTTAGTTGTTGTCAGAAATAAGCTACTGCCCATCTCCTGATTCATTTTTTGTCACCTCTCCCGATACCCACGGGATGGCACAGATACGGAGTATAAATTTTCAGCATAGATGTAGTATGCTAGTATGTGATATAAATGGAAGATACCTTTTATTTTTTAACTATAATAGATTATTTAGATAATACCAGGGCTCGGAAACGTTATTAAAAATAACATTTTTAAAATGTTTGGGCCGGTTCCTTGTATAGCATTTTATTCGGAACAAAAACGAAATGAGAAGGTAATGCGAAAACGTAAAAAACGGTTTATTCCGCAGGAAGCTAAATGTATGGCGCGTGCCAGGACAAGTTTAAACCTATAAGGTATTTTGCATTTTGTTTCGTATTGCAGGGCCAAAAAATGGGAAAAAAACTATTTAAAATGGTTAAAAACATTTTATTGAACAAGAACAATTTAAAATTTCCTTCTCTTCATAAATGTTTTTATTATGATTCCGTTCGAACATAAACGAAACAAATAAGTTTTTAGGTATTTAAGGCGAAAACGTTTCGTAAAATATACCGTTATCTGAGCCCTGGATATGAGACGACGATAAGTATGCTATGAGTTATTAAAAAAAAAGATACGGCATAAAACATTCAACCACTCAATATCATATCCAATAGCCCATGATATATAATATCATAAAAGAAGCACGATAGCAATAGACAGTATTTACCTACGTACTACTTAGTTTTTCTTTATGGAAAGTCTAGGTATATTTATTTGCCTCTCTCTCTCTCTCTCTCTCTCTCTCTCGCTCTCGCCTATCGGACGCATCCAATATTACCTAAAAAATTTAAAATATAAACACGAAAATAGACTATTGCCATTCGGATATGCAAGCTTTCATATTTGCGTTGGTGTCCTTCTGGGTAGATACCAACCCTAAAATATTTCTATCGCCAACCGGCAGTGCATAATAGCTAGTAGATCATCTGATCTAATATTAAAAAACCGGCCAAGTGCGAGTCGGACTCGCGCACCGAGGGTTCCGAACAAATCCGTAGGTTAAATAAAAATATTTTTAAATTATTAAAAATATTTTTATTATATGATGTAACTAAAAATGTATGCGTTTCGCAATTTTTCCTTGATCTGTGCTACAATACGATGCTTAGTACCTAATTTTAAGATTCTGAGTTTACGGGAAGTACCCTTTAGGTTTTGATTCCCTTGCGGCATAATATTTGCGGCATAAACGGCTGTATCTTTTGATTGCGTCGGCTTAGAAGTTTGATTTTTTCACAGCTCCAAGGGACAGTAGACTTGAGTATTTGATATGAATTTCAGCTTGACACCTCCAAGCGTTCCTGAGAAAAAGGGTCTTGACAGACAGACAGACGGACAACAAAGTGATCCTATAAGGGTTCCGTTTTTTCCTTTTGAGGTACGGAACCCTAAAAAGTAACTCAGACATAACATAAACAGTTTTTATTAATGGTAGTAGTTCTTCCAGGTCGGTAGTTCCTCAAGGCCCAATTCTTGTCCCTTTCCAGTTTTTAGTTTATATTAATGATTATTAGGTAGGGAATAAGAATGATATAGTTTTATTTGCTGATAATACTACGTTGATTTTCAGACTTTAACGGCAATTATTAAAACATGATGGAGTGAATAATGCTATATCAAAAGTGGTGCACTGGTTGGTTTATTTTACTTTTTCCCATCAAATGTCCCACTGGTAGGACAAAGTGGATTCTTTAAAATGTGTTCGTTTACTTTTCCCCACTAATCGTTTCTTGGTGGGACAAATTACACTGTTATAATAAACCTCGTCCACTTTTCCCCACGAGGGCTGGCAAATTATAAGATCTAGAAAGTGTTATTCAAGCAAGAAAAAAAAACAAATAATCAAAATTAAATAATTGTAATCAATATGTTATAGATTTACATATTATTTATAATATTTTTTGGAGTTATCTACAGAAATCACAGACAACGTTAATAAAAGATATCCTTACCATGTGTCATAATATGACCTCTTAAAAAGACAAATATACAACGATATACATGCTAAGAAGTATAAATCACGGAACATTTTAGTCTGGTCAAGTTAGCTCAAAAAATAGATTATAATAATTCGCATAGACTTAAAAATATATACGAATGTTAGGGACACTATTATAAATGAAATGTGTAAGTCACCATCGTTCCTACATCTGCTAAAAGTTCAAGGTCAAAATTGTGTTTGTCATAATATGCATGTAATAATAAAATTTGGATCAACATCAATCGGAAACATATTCATCCAAAAGTTAACCTGCTTTTTCGAAATGCCAAAATCACATACTATTTTCAACTGGCTGCGGAGGGGTAAAATAAAAGTTTAGAAATTGTTTGATAAACAAGATATAGTTAATTGTGTTGAAATTTTTAAAGATAAAAATTTTAGTCCACAATCCATAATCACTGAAGAAATTTCCTTCCTTCTGTATACGAACCTCCAAAAAAGTTACCTGCTTAATTAAGTTTTGATACTTTCCTTTTATAAGAAATACTTATAACAAAAAACGAGTGCAATTAGCTTGTTTTCACCCAACCTCTGTTTCTGCTCATCAACATCTATTTCGGGTATATTATCAAGTTCATGTTTGACTTGGTAATAAACTAGACCCAGAAGACTGAGGTTAGATGTTCATTGACAATACATTGGAACCAATTCAGACTTTACTTCCACCTGCACCGGAAAAACTCCTCATACAATTGTTTGTAATTGCAAAAAAGAGGTGTAGGTAATACTAAATTCGGGTGCAAAAAAGTTGGATTGTTATGTTCATTAGCATGTTCGAGTTGTCAAGACCAATCGTGCTCCAATGTTGAATCGCCATTAGAAGAGGATTCTAATGATATCAGGGACGAGACATCTAATGCATCGTTCTTATAACTATTCATACGTAACCAACAGGAAGGGGAAGGAAAAGAAAAAGGAGATACAACACTTGAAGTTCCATTAGATAGTTATCAATCATACGAATGGTTTTCCCTAATTGCTAATAATTTACACCGCTTTCATAATTTCCAATAGTATTTTTTTTTAATTTGATACAATATTTTTTAATTAAAAAGGACCACAATAGATCGTGGAATGGGTCTTCTGGGGAAACCACGTTAAAAAAGCGAGCCTCACAGGTGGCGTCGAAACTTTTTCAACCATTTGAATCGCTATATCTCAGAAAAATAGATTCTTAGGGAAAAAAGGCTAAGATCTATTCTTATGATAAAACTTACCGTTTAGCTGAAAGTACAAAAGAAAACCATATTTGCGAACTTTGACCTTTAATTTTCTTTTTGCAGATGTCGTATCTATGGGGACTTTTCAAATTTTATTTGTAATGGTATTCCTAACATTTGTATCAATTTTTAGCTCTATACGAATGATTATTAACTTACCCCTATTTTTGAGCTTGCCAGCGGAGAAAAGTGGACGTGGTATGTTATAACAGTGTAATTTGTCCCACCAAGAAACGATTAGTGAAGAAAAGTAGACGAACACATTTTAAAGAGTCCACTTTGTCCCACCCGTGGGACAATTGGTGGGAAAAAGTGAAATATAGCCACTAGTTTAACGTCAACAATTTGCTTTTAAACGGAAATGTATTTAGTTCACAACACCAAACGTTAAACAGGTGAAGGCCAGTGTGCTTTTAAATGAGAAGGAAGTGAACCTTGTTGAAACCATTGTTTTTCTAGGAATTATCAATGGATTCTCCATATGTCTGAACGAACGAAATTTAATTGATATATGTAGGTATATATAATGTAGGTACACAGAACCAAAACTAATTTTATTAAAATAGTCATGTTCATTCTGTAAATACTAAAAACAAGCACAAGCTATTCTATTAGTTACTCAACTCCAAAGAGTCAATCATTTCTTCATCTGGCAATATAAAACAAGTCCCAGAAAATATGCAGGACAAAAGTTAAAGAATACATGATTGATAACAAGACTTGCAATGAATAGTGTATTCGGTCTCAAGCTGAATACCGAATATCTGGCAAGTTTCCTGGCCGAATGGTTGAACATTAGGCAAAAATATGCAGCCGGGAAGGAAGTAGAGTTTATTCTCTGAAGCTGGGAACGTCAAGGCGAACAAAAAGGGTAAGCTACTGCCTGAAAATACAATCATCCAGTCGAAACGAAAATCGCAATCTTCCACTTCAAA